AGTAGTAGTAGTAGTAGTAAGAGTAGCAGCGGTAGTAGTGGTAGTAGTAGTGGTGCTAGCAAGAGGAGGAGGACGTTTACCGGCGTCATATTTCCAGCCGCGTCCTCCTCCTCCTCCTCAGGACTCAAGAGCGAGGACTTGTGGAGCCAATGTTCACATCACTTCAAGAACTCTCTTCATCGTGAATAGTAGTCCTTAAAGTTCGAAGATGTAGGCCGCAGCATGAGCACTGGTCGGCGGGATCTTCGTCCTAGTCGTAGGTCGTAGGAAAAACTCCCTCACCAGAGGCTTCCAGCTGAGGAGCTCTTGGCTGGTCGTCCGTGGCCACAGGGCCACAGAACTCTTTAACTCACGCACCTGGTGCCTACGCAGCAGTGCTGCTTTTGTTGTCACCCACAGGACTGTTGCTTAGGAACGTGTTGTGACTGTGAAGTTGTGGCAGGTTCCCTCCTGCAATCTAGCTCGTGGTCTGAATCTTGCGGTTGCATGGGTGCCAGATGGTTTTCAAAGACCCCACAGCGACCGCGAAAGTGCGGCACTGCCACAAAAGCGAAAATTTGCGGTCTTGCGTCTTGCGTCGATGCACTACTGTCATGCCATGCAAGTCGAGGTTAATCCATCATCGTAGGTGTTTGCCTGCCCTGGAAGTCTTGGCCTCGCAGCTCTTGCGACGGGGGCTTCAGGAACCGAGGGCTCAACTGAGACGTTCTTAGCCACTTCTAGTGTTTCAAGGTAACACCACGATGCCCCTATGCCTCTGTGGTCGTCCCAAGTCGAACTTTCGGTTGAATCCCCAAACCTGGACAGGTCAAGGACCTCATAGCCAGCATCGACACGGCCATGAAGGAAGCGAACGACGCCTACGAGGCCTGAAGGGCTTGCCGGAACCTGCGGCAAAGATCCTGTAACACAGGGTCTGACTGGTAAGTAATGCTTCCCTCTATGTCATTTGTGTAATATGCACCAAAAGAGCCCTCCAACTATTCAGGCTCCCATATTGGGCTTCAGGTCCTGTCGGGTTTTGGGTTCATCTGAAGCTCATAGCCAAAGCCAACGACATCTGGGTTGTCACTGAATGTCGATATCATTTCCGGCGTATTGGATATGCTTGTCGTGATTTTTGTCTAAATGTTCCGCATGCCCTCATGATTGAGGTTATATAGTTATGATGCTGACACTATGATGCTTATCATTATGAAAATAAACCCTAAACCCTAAACTTCCCTAAACTCTAAACCCTAAACCGTATTTTCATGAGCAATTGGTAATCTGCGTATGGATTGAACCCCGGAGAGCCTGGCGCCTTCCCTCGGCCAGGTCTGCACAGATCTCGTCCGAAAGGTTGGCAACACCTTCCAGGCAGCTTGGCTCAGCTTGGCGGCTCAAAAGGCTACGAAAAGAGCACTCCTAGGTCCTACCCTGCAAGTTCTTGCTGCAGTTTGCTGCCGTTGCTGCTGCTGCTGCAGCTGTCGCTGTGCCTGTCGCCGTTCCTGTTGCTGCTGTCCTCGTCGCTATTGTTGTGGTCCTTAGTTCTTCAGGTGCTCATCTCCTCCTCGTAGTGTACCATATGAATACACTGTGCTACGACTTGCACTACTCTTCGTGTCTTTCCTCATCCTGTGCCAAGTTTGAAGACAACTTCATTCTTTGAGAGCGTAGACAGCCCAGCTGAGCCCACCAGCGCCCGAATCCTAAAGCAAGTCCTAAGTCCCAATCGCTCAGAACCCTGAGCCCAAAAGCCCCAGCCCTAGAGCCCTAAACCCAAAAGCCCAAACTCGGAAGTCCCAAACCCTAAACCCTCAAGAAAGGCCCTCGATCCTGAGCTGAAAGACTTGAAGGAGCAGAACTCAAGGCTAATGCAGAGGCCGGGGGCTCTTGTCTTTGCAGGATCCCGGGCGCTGTGGGGTTCGAGTTCCCTCCGGTAAGACCCTCATCCTTTTGTTCGACCCGGGGGTTCCTTGTTACTAAAACCAAACCAAAGGGGGTCCCCAGTTATTGGTGAACCAAAGAGCCCCGGCGTGTTTAGGATTCGGTGGGGTCAGGATTTGGGGGTTTCGCTGCCAGGGAATGTTGGGTGTGGAGGATGCGAAGATTGGGGCGAATGCCCTATAGCCTGTGGAGGCCGTAGCCAGCTCGCTGACACACAAAGACGTAGAGAGGCCAATTCTTGAAATTGCATGGATGCCGAGCCCTAGGCATATAAACCCTCAACCCAAACCAAAACCACGTACCTTGTAGCGAGACCCTGGACCCCCCCCCTGACTTGGCTCCAAACCCCATTTCACGGAGGATGGCTGCGGTTTCTATGGACAAAGACACCGTCATCAAGTCCAGCACAAACTCCAAGGAACAGGCGCCTTCCACGCACTCGCAAGCTCCAGAAAGACAAGCAAGAAATAAGTACATGAGCAAGTCAAGAACTGTATGTGCGTTCACACATTTGCGCATGTATACATACACACAACACACACACACTCTATGTATACGTATATACACATATTCATAAGTTATATATATAAACCAATCATAGTTGCTGCATGAGTAAATGAATACATAGACACTTATATATATATATATATATGTATGTATGTGTATATAGGTATAAGTGTACATATGTATATATATATATACACACATACATGCATGCATGCATGCATGCATGCATGCATGCATGCATGCATACATACATACATACATACATATAAATATAATATTATATATGCACACATACATACATACATGCATACATACATACCCTTACATATACATACATATAGATACATATATATATACACATACATATACATGCACATGTACATGTACATGTACATGTACATACACGTACACGTACACATACACATACACATACACATATACATACATATACATATACGTACATATGCATATACATATATATATATACATATATATATACATATACATATACGCACATACACACATACACACATACACACATACACACACACACATACATACATACATACACATACATACATACATACATACATGCATACATACATACAAACATACCTACGTACATACATACATACATACATACATACACACACACATATATATATGCACACATTCATACATACATACATACATACATACATGCATGCATGCATGCATACATACATACACACAAACAAACATATATACATACATGCATGCATGCATGCATGCATGCATACATACATACATACATACAGAACACGCTGTTTATCTGCACTGATTATCATATGTTCCTCAACTTGTCATTTGTTGTGCAGACCGACTCACTTTCCTCCCATGGTACTTCTCAACCGCAATGGAGTTTTGGCATCCTGCACGGAGGTCATGTGACACATAAGGCTGTTTGTTGAAACCCCTGAAGACGGAGTGAAAAGAAAGCCATCGCGCAAAGGCGTCATGCATTGTGCAGAGTTGTCCCTGAAGGCTGAACTTCACCCGTCAAAACCCCCAAAAGGTCCTAAACCCTGATCCTGGAGACGTCGAAGTGGAAGCCAGGCCCTTCGCCGAGCGACGGCGAAGGCCAAGCTGGACAAGCAGATGGTCGCCAGCTCGCGAAGAACGTACCGTGTTGCGATAATACAAATAGTAATAATACTACTACTTGCAACAATAATAATAATTATTATTATGATTATCATTATCATTATTACTATGATCATTATCATTATTATTATCGGGTTCCGGTCTTCGTGTATTTTGGACTGCATGATTCGGCGCTAGGGTTTCAGAGTATCCATCAGGGCCTACGGTTCATGTAGGTTTTGGGGATCGTGCGTAAGAAATTATTGTTTCAGGTAAGTTGCAGACGAGAGCCTCGTGAATACAAGGCGATTTCTGGTCTGCACGTAATCTGTCCAGATAGAGTCACAGAGGTCCTTTTCGCGAAGTACGACGCGAACAAGGACGGGGTCTTGGACAAGAAGGAGGCGGGGACATCGCGCGAACATTTGGAGGATGCAGAAAGCGCGGCTTCTGGAATCAAGCATGGCAATAGCAACGACGTCAACAAGGCATGTTGAGGATGATGAAGACGAGGATACGAAATAGGGCAAAAAGAATGATATCGACAATGAGACTGATCTTGCGTGCTGCTGGGAACAAGGATGGTCAGGAAAGAGACCCTATCAATGGCATGGTGCGTAGTCATGGTAAAATGATGATACCGACGATAGCTCATGGCAATAAAGGCTCTCATCAGAATGCCGACATAAGCAGCAGAAGTAGTAGAATGAGGATCAGAACCACGAGGACATAGTCATATGTATATAGATATATATATATATATATACTAATGATAGTCTATATATGTATGTATGTATGTATGTATGTATGTATGTATGTATGTATATATATGGACAACAGTTCGAACTTATGCTGCTGCTGCTGCTGCCGCCGCCCCCAGTGATTATGAGGGTGATGAGGGCCCGGTGAATGAAGATTTAGCATGTCATTATGGTCTTGGTGTCCGCCCCGTCAGATCGCGAACTACGCGAAGAAGGAGTTTAGCTTCACAGTGCCGGAGCCGGCAATGAACTCCCTGCTCCAGGCTCGGTTCTCGATTCCATGGCTCCGCTCTTCAACTTAAGCTTGTTTCAGATGCACAACAAACAAAATCATGTGATGATGCGGTTGTTGAATTCCGTGTCATCGCCTTCCTGGAGTGCTTGTGAGATCTTGTGGATGCCTGGAGAGGTCCTGGTGGATGAAGGAGCCAAGGCCGGACCCAAACTGCCAGAGCTCTCAGCAAGGTCCACCTTCATTGTACAGCAGCACCAGATCTAATGTGCATATGTTATGAGGCAGCGGTCTGTTTGCCTGCCTTCCTGTCCGCCCGTATGCATGTTTGCATACGTCATATGTCTGCCTGTCTGTATGAATGTCTCTGTCTGTCTGCCTGGCTGGCTGGCTGGCTGTCGGTCTGTCTGACTGTCTGGCTGCATGTATGCATACCTGCATGAATGTATGCATGTATGCATCTGGGCATGCGTGCATCATGTGTGTACGTATGTCTCTACTTGTCTCTGTGTGTGTGTGTGTCACGGCACACACACACGTAACACAACATGAGATGAGATGATGCAACATGGTCTTGTGGTACGACATGTTGTAAGACGTGAAGGCAGGCGGCAGAACATTGGCCGAAGCCACGCTCGTGCGTGTTGCCCCCTTCAGGGTGTGAAGAAGGCAAACTTCCACCGGGTGCGAATCCACGTTGGCATGGCCCGCGAAAAGGCCAAGGACCGCGACGGAGTTCACAGTGAGCGGTCCAATGCTTTGTGCTCAGTCTGCCATGTCACGCAGGATCAGAAAAGACGGAAAGCTCGAGAAGCTAGAGAGAAGGAAATCGAAGAAATGAAGGCTCGCTTCGAGTGCCGCCTGAAGACATGAAATCAGAAGCTTCGCTTACTATTTCCCATAAGCTGCTGCTGGTCCCAAGCTCTAAAGGCCAACACCCCCCAAGCCTAGCATTCTCACCTGTCACTCTGCTTGCCTGGCAGGAAGCTTTCAAGACAAAGGCCAATCCACGCTCTTCCGAACTTCCTCTGCCGGAAAGCAGTGCTTCGAAAGGCTTTGAGGGTTTCGGCCTTTAGCTTTTATAGCTTTTCGAGTTCAGAGGTCTGGACACGGCTCACAAGACGAGACCCCTCGTCCTGCCTGTATGGTGAATCGACTGGGTCGAGCAACGACATGCTCGTAAGCTGGGCTCCAAGACTAGGTCATGAGATGCCATCGCCGCAGCCAACCCCGCGTAGTACGATTGTCGTGGTCCAACGAGCACGAGGAGCACCAAAGCCTAAGCGTCGTCCCAAGCATGGCGGCTCTTTCGATCCACACCGGATGCCAGAAAACTTGAGCCAAACATCCCCAAACATACCATCCAACACTGAGCCAAGATACAAAAAGCCAAAGTCCCGGAACCCTCCGGGAACACTGGGGCGCCCTTGCATGGAAGTGCTGCGCCTCCTGGGCAGCTCGGAGCGCAGCGTCGCCACTGCCTGCAAAGGCTTCGAGTCGGTCCCGGTTTCAGGCTTTTTGTGTCTTGGATGCCAAAAAATGATAGAAAGTGACTAGATAATGCAGGAGCAAAGCGGAAAAAAGTGAAGTCTAGGCTGGCCGAGGAAACGCAGGGAGAGTCCTCTCACAGCATCCTCCAAGCTCTCGGAGTTCCGAAGGCTCCAGACTTAAGGGGCAATCTTTGTAGAGGCTTGAACAATGAGCCATAAGATCCCGTTACAGCTCCTGAAGCCGAGTAGGTAGGGCCTTTATAGATGTAGGAGGGTGTTTGGGGAAGTCAGGCAAGGACGTCCGTCTATAAAGGTTTCAGAAGTATGAAGAACGCTGAACCAAGTACTTGCTACTTCGGACTAAAGGCATCGCTTTGAGCTAAGAGCAAAGGCCAGCGAACAGGGTCAGATTCACCGATGACGGCTAACAGCCCTTAGCCCAGCCGAACCAAAGTGTCGAGGCCTCTCAGGCCCTATAGGGCTATAGGGTAGCTGCCTTTTGATGCTTCCTTGGGCAGCTGCATGCAGCAATGCAGGTGTGGAGACTGCCGGTGGCCCAGACGGGGGGTGGCCTCATAGATCCAAGCAGGAGGACTCCGAAGAGGCGATCCCGCAAGAGAGCTTGTAAAGGCTTGTGGAAATCTCATCTTGTGCCTGAACCTGCTCTCATATGATTCGCGTTTTGCATAATACTTCAGAAGTTTCTCTGCTCGAGCGCTTACGCTCCCGTGCGAGCCACTTGAAAAGTTCAGAAGATCACATCTTCCGCGTTGCTCGTTTCAGGGTCGCTAGATCTTCCCAAGGCGAGAAGGCACCCCGAGCTGCAAAGTCCGGGGAATCTCTGGGCCCAGGTGTGCACATTGCTGGACAACATTGCCCGGGCCCCCGAGAATGAGAAGTTTCGGCAAATCCGAAAGAGGAGCCATGCGGGTGATGTGGGATGCTGGGATCTACAAGCATTACAAGTAGTCAAGATGACGCGCATCTAACAACAAGTATGTTTCCCACTATAAGTGTGCTATAGCAGTTGAAATTTATGAAGGCTCCAGCTTCTTGGATTGCGATGCTCTTTACCCAGCACGAAGCCATGTTTCGCAAACAGTAGCTGCAACACGGCCTGACTGTGGTCTCTACGTTTGCCTGCGGCTTGCATCCAGCCTGCATCACTCGTTGCTGCGGCTCTGAACCGGAAACGAACCGACCGCCTGACGCCTTACATGCAAAGCAGGAATCCTACCATCGCCCGGCTCCTCGGCGTTGAGGAGGCAGCTTGCGATGTGTCGCATCGACAGGGCGAACTACTACAAGAAGCCTGGATCGGAATAGGGATCTAAGCTTCTGGATGACCCTCTTGATGGGATCATGCAGGGCCGCCAAGCCAAGCATCCACGGTCCACAGAGCTGGATTCAGTTGGTGAGTCAGCATCCTCCGAAAAGCCTTCGCAGATCAGGAGAGTTTCAATCGCCCATGATTCTGCAGAGGAGGGCGTGCTGCGAAGCGCCGGATTCGAGGACCGACGAGATGTGGATTCGTTGTTCGTGGGCTGCTCGAGAGTCATTGGCTGGAGGGGCTTTGGCCACTTCCGAAGATTCCGACCCCCTCACTGTTAAACCCAGCCCGGTGCCCAAAACCTATTGCTTGCTCGGGGCTTGGGTTGCTGCCACAAACGCCCTTGCCTATGTAAAAGAACCCGTTGCTGGGAGCCTAATCTAAACCACAGTGCCTGCACAGACATGTACATGTATGTAACCATGTAGCATGTTCACATACGCAGCTAAGCGCACACACATACACACACCTAGCAATCATACTATGTGCGTGTATATAGAGATGTACGGATATCTTTTCCACAATACATGTTATGTGCGGGCGAACATACATGGGTATGTATGTATGTATGTATGTATGTATGTATGTATGTATGTATATATGTATGTACGTATGTATGTACGTCTGTATGTATTTCTGTACGTATGTATGTGCGTCTGTATGTATGCATGTGTGTGTAGTTGCATTCACATGAATGGCTGCTTCGTATATGCGTTCTATCCATCCATCTACCTATCTACTTGTCTACCTGTCCACCTATCTATCTATGTATCGATCGATCTATCTATCTACCTAGCTAGCTAGCTAGCTAGCTAGCTGTCTATCTGCTGTGTCTGTCTCGCGGTCTTGCTGTCTGTCTGTCCATGCGTCTCCGCCTGCTCTCTGTCTGCCTGTTTCTCTCATTTTAGATCTGCCCGTCTACCTGCAGATGTAGCCTTCGGCACTCGCATCCGTGCAGGATGGCCCAGAAGAGACCTTAGTGTGCCTGGGGGCCACTCCCGAGCTTCCGGAGGCGTCTTGGACATGTGATCACAGCTACGTAGTAGTGTGCATATTTGCATGGCATGTCCGTTTTGTGTGTGCATGTGTGTGTGTGTCTTTGTGTGTACGTCTATGTATGTACATGTATGCATACGTGTACCTACATGTGTGATCGTTATATGCATGTTGCTTAGGTACGTATGTCTGTATGATTCTTACATTCGCATGACTTGTCTGTCTGAAGCATGCTTCTTCACAGCTGAAGCACCATTGAAGGAGATAAATCTGAGATAAACAAAGCTCGAATTAGAACAATCCTAGAGAACTCCTTTAATGAAAGCCCAGTGAGCTAAAGATACCCTTCGCTGATATTCCAGCGAGCTACGGATCTTTTTTTCCTGAAAGTCCAGTCGAGAGTCTTGTTTATCACCAGTGTCTGTTTTGAAAGGGCCTGCAGGCTTTCCCGAAAGCTGGGAAACGTTGAGCGTTCTTCAGCTTTTTGCTAGCTTGTTTTAATTGCTCTTTTGGGAATCCTTCTCCCGTGCCCAGCCGAAAACTGGGAAATTTTTTACTGCTTTTTAAAAGCTTTCTTTTGTTTCTTTTTGTTTTCTTTAGTTTTCGTTTAGCTTTCTTTAGTTTTTTGCTGTTAGCTTTTTGTTGGATTTCCTTAGCTTTTCATGGGATTTCCTTGGCTTTTGTTAGCCTTTGGTGGAGTCCACGATTTTCCAAGGGAAATCCACAAGAATCCTCAAGGAATCTTGAACAAATCCTACGATGACGGGCCAAGCGGGGAAGGGGAGGGGGGTTGGAGTTGGAAGTGGGGGGACGGGATTTAATGATTGCCCGAAGCCCTCAACCCTTTACCAAAACCCTAGGCCTTGAACCCTAATCCCTCGAACCTGCACCCTAGACCGGGAACCCCCGCACCTTAAACCACAGTTCCAGTAACAACATCATTGTGGGAAATAGTTAGCTTTTTCTTGCTTTTTTTTAAAGATTTTCTTAGCTTCAATGTTTTTCCGGTAGTTTCCTGGAATGCCGAAGAAGTAGGCCCTGAAGCGGTAAGGGATGGAAATGTATGAGTTTCAGAGAGCCGATGGAAAAGTCGTCAAGGTCCGAGATGCGGCAGTGTTTGGAGATGCTGCACAGCCGTTGTTTGCAGTTGGAAAGTTTTGGAAAGTCGGATGGGGAATCGAACCCCAAGATTCGTACACAGCTTTCCTGACGAGAGGACATGTGATGATACCGATTCGGTTTGCAAGGAACTCAACGGTTATGGACATAAAGATCTACAAAGCTGAAGTGAAGACTGAGGAAAAGAAAGTTGAAGCGGTGATGAGGAAGCTTACTTTGACCAAGCAGATGGAAGAAGATCTTGAAAATGCCAGGTGGTGTACGCAGATGCGTACACACATAGACATGCATCAGTGTAAATACGGTCTACAGGTTTTCTGTTTCTGTGTATATGTATACACGCATGTGTATACACACATGCATATGTGTACGCCTGCCCACACGCACACGCACCGTTACTTACTTCATCAATGTCAAGAATTTTGCAAGGTTTTGTCCCTGGCAAGACTAGCAGGTCCTCAAAGCTGCAGCTGTCATTCGGGACACCTTGAGGCTGTGCCGGCACCCTAGCCTCTCGATGCCTCTCGGTCTGTCTCTCCTCCTCTCTTCTCTCTTTTTTTGTGCCTGAGAAGCAATACCTGACACCCAAGCCTCCGTGTTTCTGACTGTTTTGGAGCTTCGCTGCTTCCAAGCCCCCAAGACCTCCACAGCCTCCTGCACCTCACTGGGTAGGTACTGTAGGATCGTGTGAAGCTGGGATATGATACTTAGCAAACTAGGTACCCATCGTGTATACGGTATATCACCAATCTATCTGAATGGTTAAGCAGATAAACAGATATTATGCACATATATGTAGACGTAGTGTAGTTTGAAGTTGTTCGCAGCTGTTATATAGTTACAACATGTGCGTATGTGTCTGAAGCTCCCTCTACCTACACACACACACACACGGACGGACGGGTAGGTTGTCGTACGCATGTACGAGACACGTTACATCAAAGTCGCTCTCTCTGGCTCGGCAGGCAGAAGGAGGCTGAGTTGGGAGGCGAAGGCCCTCGTCCCAGCTCCGGGCCTTCCGGACTTCCCAACCAGTTCATTCAAAAGCATGTTTAGGATTTAGGGCCTTCTGCTTTTGGAGCCTTCCGATGGTCTTGGGAAGTTGCGGAAGTAGATATACCTTAGCGGGTACCTGTGCCCTGAGGCCGTAAGCATTGAAACCGGGGACAATATTCTTAATCATTTAGAGGGTTTAGGGTTTAGGTAGGGGACCCTAATATCGTACCCTAAATAGTAGGATCCTTATTATAAGGACCCCAAAAGAAGGTACCCTAATTTGGTTTTGGGAGGGTTCAGGGGGATAACGCCAAGCTCCCAGGCGCCGGCGCGCTGCTCTGCTGTGCTCGGGCCTCAAGACTTCTCGGCCCTTCGTACCTTAGTGCTCGGCTCAAGAGGTGCATCGTTTTCTTCTGAGACAAGGTGCAACGCCATGATGAGTTCGCGTTTTGTGTAGAGGGTTTGGGTCGGAACAGGTTGGATTGGACTGTGTCCTTTGATGATGTTTCGCTACATGGTGGTGATGATGATGGTGGTGATGATGATGATGATGGCATGTTTCTCTTGTTGGGGACAATGACCTGGTATTACATCTTGCTGCCACCTTGGTCTACTCGCCTTGTGGGACGCGGAATAGATCCAAGATGGCTGGAGGATTCGGGCGGCGCCAAGTCCAAAAACTTCTCTCCAGCCCAAAGTCCCGGATGCCAAGAATCGAACCCTCGAAGAGCCCTCAAGCTTTGGCTTCGGCCTCAAGGATAGCCGCGTGGCGCAAGCAATCGAGTGCAGCGCACTCGGAGTCCTGCTCACTGTTTCACACTTCATTTCATACCTCTGCAGTGAGGAGGAGGATAGCAGGAGGATAGCGATAGCTGGGATGAAACTGATGATGACGTACCGATGATGCCTGTTGATGATGAGAATGACGACAAGGACGATGACGACGAAGATGCTTCTGCCTTTGCCAATGGTTGAGGAGGATGGTGAACTTCCTCCGCAGCACATGTATCTATGAGACTAAGAGTTGCGACCATACAGTAGCTTCTGAGTTCGGGGCCTGACTCGGGCGCATTCCATGGCCGGTTTCTGAATCATAGGAGGAGTTTTTGCCACCGGCGAGAATTCTGAAAACTTGATGTTCCCCAGAAGGTTGCGCCGAAACCTCTACCACAAAGGTGCCGTGCTGGATTACGCCGCGCAGCGGTCGGCCGACATGGCCGAGGTTACAGCTTAGCATAAGGCTTGATGTGTAGGACTTTTAAGATTCGATAGCATTTCCGTCGTTCATCACCCCTTTATCTGCCGTTCTGTGCATGATACTGTAAGGAGCTGTTCACATTCTTGGTCTCACTGTTTGTGGAGTGGCTGCAATTCTGTGTAATCGTTTCCCCCCCATATTTAACCGCCTCCCCCCCTCAATAAAGACTCGGAAGGTGTTTTTTTATTCTTAGGGGGTATTTTTATCTCCATTTTTGAGGGGTTGTGCTCTTGTTCCTGCTCTGGCTCTTGCTCCCGCGCTGGCTTCTGCTCCTGCTTCTGCCTGCGTCTCGCGTGCCTGCTCCTGCTCTTGGTGTTGCTCTCGCTTTTGCTCTTGCTCTTGCTCCCGCTGTTGCTTTTGCTTTGCTCTTGCTGCTGCTCTTGCTCTTGCTGCTGACTGTGCTCTAAGGGTATTTGGAGCCTCGAAACCCTCCCCCCTAATTCAGATCAGGTTTCAAAGGGCAGGGATGATGTCGGGAGGATTCGCCCCAATGTGTTTTCATTGTTTCCGGGGTGTTTAGTAGAAGGGGGAAGTGATTAGTCCCAATCCCTTAGTCTGGGAATGCTATTCAAGGGGTGTGATGGCACAGTCCCTCTACTTCGTCGAGCTTTCTGTCACAAGACCTCAGCAGCAACCAGCTTGGATCGATCCTACACCCGAAACCTTATACCCTCAGCCCACCCAGCCCTACAGGCCCCGAGTCCCAAACCTTGAAAGCCCCCAACTCCCCTCGTGAAGCTGGCGGCAGGCAGAGAAGAAGCGGAGAAAAGTTGATGAGGCCGATGGCCTACGCTCGTCGGTCTCCCAGGAATCTCCGATGGTCCAGCACCCCAAAACCCTAAACCCTAAGCCCTCTCGCGAAGTGGGTTCTAACCAACCTTGACTGGCAGGATGGGAAGAGGCGCTCAAAACAAGCTAGGCTTTAGGGCTTCAGGGTTTAGGGTTGCCCTAAACTTGGGTTTAGAGTTTAGGTCTACTACACAAACAATCACGTTGGGACAGCTGAGGCCCACAAGGTGGAGAGAAACCCTCGCTCATGCAGGCGCGGGGTCTGAAACTTGAGAGTTGCTTGTGCTGACGTGCGGTTTCTATCTCCCTGCCGCTAGGTTTAAGCATGTTCAGAGTAAACCTCGGCACTGAGTTCAAGCTTGCCTTATGCCTGGCCATTTTTTATGCGCTTCCAGCGCGCATCTTCCCTGCTAGCATCATTGCGGTTTCTTTCGGCCTGCTCGGGCAACTGTCACAACTGTGGCCGCGCAGTTTGTGTACTGTGCTGGTGGCACAGTGGTCTCAGGTAGGAGAGTGTAGCACTCCGTGCGAGGTGGAGGCTTTCTCTGCGATGGCGGGATGCTCGAGGCAACGAGCAGTGAAGATCTCGAAGCTCCGAACCCGAACCACTCGTAATTCTATACCCACCTCAGGGAGACATCAGCTTCAAGCGACCTCATGGCAGGCATGGCTGGACGAGGCCTCTGCCAACCGCTCCCTGGCCTTCGAACTGCTTCAGTTACAGGCGCCGAGTGAGACATGAAAAGGATGCTGGCCGCTTGCATTGTTATTCGCCTCCTCTTACCTTTTCCAGGACAAGGCCATGCGCTGGTACGCCACGGGAGCCCGAAGGCATTGCCTGGCACCCAGAAGGAGCCTTCCTGTGCCCTTCTTCGAAGCATCTTCGTTCTACGCCGCACTGCCTCCGGCATTCAGGTGCAGCTTATGGGGCATACATGATGGCATGTGCACCCTGAAGCTTCAACCTGAGAGCCGAACTCCTCGGCTCTGAGCCTGAAAGCCCTGCAGAGGCGACCCGAAGCTTCCAGAGATTCCCAGGCGAGTCCTTCAGAGGACGGCTCCTGGATGCTGCGAAGACCTTGCAGGACGGCACCCGCGAGAGCTGCAGCTGTTCAGGATCTTGCGAGTCTCGACATCACTTTGTCCGTGTGTGTGCGCTCCTACCACTCCCGAAACTGACTCCCGGAAAAGCATCAAACCCATCGCGCACTCGATTGAGCTCTTAAACCACGAGCTCCAAAGGTGTGGAATACCGTAACCATGGTAACGGCTTGAGATCCGCCTTGGCTGGTAGACTCCCGCGAAAGACCAAAGTTGATCGAAGTGTCTTACCAGGATACGAAGCTGCGCCGGGCTAAGCGGACCTGCCATTGGGTCACGAGGGTGCAGGGAAGGTTTGGGCCGTCCAAGAGGGTAGAGTAGCTGTAGCTGCAGCTGTAGTTGCAGTTGTTGTTGCAGGAGGCGGAGGAGGATGAGTTGTAGTAGCAGGACGACTAGAAACACGAGCAGAACAGCAAGCCTTAATTTGGAGCCCACCCTGATTCGGCTCGAGCTCCAGCCAATGCCTGCTGGAGAGAAGTGTCAAGCACCGCCTAAACGCGGATTGCAGCGTGGGTAGAGTGTAGGGTGTTGTGCACTAGGAAACTGAAGCATCAAGCCACCGCGAAACGCCCAAACACCCAAACCAGGAGGACCACTGAAACACCGCGACAAGAGCGTCACAGCCAGGGCTGGCGAGTCTCTTTTCATGTTGCATCGACTGGCCTTTGCAGAATCATGTGTCGCCGGCTGCAGACGGCCTTCAACGACACGATCTGGCCCGAAAGGGACGATGGCACCATACCTCTGCCGGATGGCTTATTCTCGGGCCAGGCAGAGAAGAAGCAGAAACACGCCGAGGAGGTAGTCGACTGGGCTCAGATTCCCCGCCAGGATTGGCTTGAGTTCACGAGCGAGCCAGAAACCATCGCTCATACCGATCTGCTGTCATCGGATTGGGTACAAAAGACCGAGGAGTGCAGAGAGCACGACTTGGACCCTGAGGGCGAGGCCGCATTCTACCACCCCTCCTTCCGGTTTAAGCAGCCGGCCTTTGCAGTGCATATTCAGCTTTTAGAGAAAAGGAAAGGCAAACCACAGCAGAAGATCTGGGATGTGATCTATGCTGGCGGGGCGGGTGCTGACAACGAGATCGTCCGCTCTGCCACACCGAACGGCGGTTCGCATCCACTCTTCCGGCAGTTCTGCCAGCCTTTGTCCGAGGAGACCCGCTACGAGCTGCATGTTACGGACGTGACCAGGAACAGGAAAGGGAAGCCCAAGAGAAGCTTCGACGAGATCCTGGAGCTTCGGCCAAAACCGGATCTTCCGCGCAGCTTCCACTTGAAGAAGGGTATGAAAGTGCCGAAGAAGTTCTCTTTTGACTACTGGCTCCGAAAGGAGAAGAAGGAGCAGGATCGAGAGAAGAAGCTGAATTTCCTGATGCAGGGCCTTGCCTGGAGTCCTCGAAGGCCACTGACAGTGGCAAAGAAGAACTTTCCAGATGGCCCCATTGACTTCTCCCCATGGACGATCGACCCAGAGACTGGTGAGCGGGTGAGCCGAGAGGATCTCGCAGACTTCCTCTGAGACCCCCCCCAAAACGGCTGTCAGCTGGCAGTCAGGGAGCAGGAAGTGTCCGTAGAATGGCAGAGCAGGCCTAGTCGGAATGTGGGGAGAGATCACGTCTTCTTGAGGCTGAAGCCGCTGATCACGGAAGAGCTGGCACAGCTCCGCGAGGCTTGGGACATCTCACGCCTCTTCAGACAGAGCCACGCTGTTCCAAACTGCATAGCTGCGAAGAACTCGCAGATTGTTTGTTGTTGGTTTGGAGGGCTCACGGGTTTTGAAGGGCTCTGTGCAACTCATCTAGCTTTCGCTTTTAGAGTGGGAGAGGCAACAAGTCGAGATCAGGGCCGCACCTCACGAAAATCCCGAGCATGAAAACAATTGTGGTCTTCCCAAAGCCGTGTCGCACTGCATCATCAATGCATTCCGCTGTTCATTGTCAGCATCGGGTCAAGGTTTGCTTTCTAGAATCTAGAGGTGGAGACACCTTTTACTTCCGCTTTCAGGCTGAGGCTAAGGGAGCTCGAATGACTGGATATGCGCTGAGGAGCTCGTAGGAGGCCAGAGCTTCGAATCTCAAAAGATCATGCAGTTATGCATAGGTTCAGTTTTTTGCGGAGATCGGCATCCGCTGTTTGAGGGGTCCGACCAGCTGTGCTCATGTTAGCTGGTGCGCGACTATCCAAGCTGAACCCACAGCCTCCGAAGTCTGTCCGCCCAAGCGAACCCAGAAGAGACCCTGCCCCTCCCCCCTTCAGATTGATGCAAGGCGAAGGGAACTGTTCCCATCCTTCCAATCTAGCAACTGATGGATTGCCAGGCTGTGTTCAGCTATCCGGAGGAGGGGGGTGCGCCCCCTCGACTTTTCCGTATCTCGCCAGCACTAGGCCACTGCAAACAACAACTGCGTAGTCTGTATGCAGAAGCAGGGTCTTAGCAATGAATTACAGCTTCGGTTGGCCTTTCGAGGCCTTCCCGAAAACCCTTCATCGGGAAGCCTTGTCCCACATATTCCGCTGCTCACAGGCGAAGCTGCCATGTCCAACCGGCTTGAGGCCACCACACTGTCAGGTGAAATCTGTTTCTGTCAGCACATTTGGTTGACAGACTAGATCAAACAAGTGCCATCGCTCTCTTTGTTGTCATTCATCTTCTCCCTACTGTTTGCAACATCCTTCTGTGTAGGTGGAGCTCGCTTTTAGGAGAATCTGCCAGGCCGACACGGACATCGCGCTGATGCCAAAGCCGCACCAGCAGTCACACGAGGTCCCCAAGACTTGCGAAGGGACGAAGAAGCAGTAGTAGTCGTCGTCGTCGTAATCGTAGTCGCAGTCGTAGCCGTAGTCGTAGCAGCAGCAGTACTACTAGCAGTCGCAGTGATTTGTTGCAGTCAGTACTAGCAGTAGGAGCAGCAGCATCATCAGCAGCAGCAGCAGCGGCGCTTCCGAGGCGGCAGCAGCGGGGGGAGCAGCAGCAGCAACAGCAGCAGCAGCAACAGTAGCTGCAGATGCAGCAGCACTAGTTGTTGGAGGCGTACGAGTAGCAGGAGTACCATGAAAGCGGCAATCAGGCGCGACGAGGTGGTACGATTACCAGTGGTCGCATGCAGAACAACAGCCGGCCTGGAAGTAATTTGTTTGAGGGGGGCGTGCGGGGTGAAACGATTTCTAACAATGCCCAGACAGGTGTTGCAGTCGACCTGAGCTGCTCTTACTCCGTAATATTGTGACTTACCCAGAACCTTGTACCAAGTAGGCGGCGAATGCAGAATTAGGAGCCAGTACGTGCGGTATTCTGGCAACTGAGCCAAGCCAAGCATTGAACTAAGAGTATAGTATTGCAAGCATAGCTCCCGTCAGGTGATTTCGTGCACCCGGCACAATTCCGGTTTCTGCCTGCGCGCATGAGAAGCTTGGATTGGAAGCAATATTTCTTGCAAAGGCTTACATGTTTAGCTACGGCTGTGCATGACGTTTGTGAGCCGCCTGTCGTGATCCGGAACTAGACCTCATCGAATCTTCTGCCAGGCTGGAGTGAGCCGCCCCAAAGAGGGACGGGAAGCGTTCGCTGCCCTTGGTCGTGAACGCGTGTTTCAAGTTCTGATCAGCCAGCACCGACAGTACTGGACGGCTGTTTCCGAATGTGGCATTGCCAGCAGGCCGTCCAAGTCGGAAGAAAGGAGCGAGGATGATGCTTAATTACTGATTACTTATGCTCGTATTGCACGGTCATTGTCGTTGTCAAAGCTGTAGCTGTTCTTGTTGCTATTGGTGAGTTTGTATCCATACTACCATTGAGTGTACTGTTACCGAGAATATGGCGATTAGGTTGGTGATCATTTGCAAGGTGATGATTTTGATGATTATGAGAAGCATGCTCATGACGATCACGATGAGTACGTTGCACAAGGAGATGCTGATAACCTAGTGATCAGTTATCCTCGTCCTCCTCCTCCTCCTCCTACTACTACTACTACTACTACTAAACGACGACGACGACGACTACTACTACTACTACTACTACGACTACGACTACGACGACGACGGCGACGACAACGACGACTGCGACCAATAATAGTAATAATCATCATCATAATACTACTTATACAGCATTTTGCCATTGGTGCGCGAGCGAGTGCTGCTCGTGGCAGCACATTGCCTAACAATGCACTCTGCAAAACTCAACTCGTTACGATCTGGCTTCTGGACTACCATCGAAGTGCACTCTGCTTTGCATGTTCGCGGTTCTGAAAGGCTAAAGCTGTCGCGGCACGTCCGAAACCGCCACCGCTTGATAGGGGGCGGTGGGTTGAAGACCTATGAAATGCGATTATGCGCCATCGCCTCATGAGGGGGGCCCGATTTAGGAACATGTAATCATTCGGCATATCCAATCGAGGGAGGGGGGGAGGGGGTGGGCGTAAATTGATCCAACTCCATGGTCTAGGTTCAGTTCATGAACTGGGATCAAGAGCCATCGCAAAATGACGAGGTGGGCTCAGCCAGTGCCTAACAGCTAGTGCCTAGTGAGGGAGGGTGTAAGGAACTTCAGCAACCGCTTTGCCAATGTGGGGGCGGGTTCTTTAAGGAATGAGAGCCTCGTGAGGGGCCGGGTGTAAGAAGACTGTGTGGGTGGGGAGGCTCACTTCCGGTAAAGAGTAAAAACGGGGTGAACATCCCTGAACTGAATTTCGGGGTTGAGGTCAGGGACTTGGGTTTGTGATTTTGTTGCATTGAAGTGCTGGGCTTCATACTGACAAGGAGCCCCAATTGAAATCCCGAACCGGAACGGAAACCGAAAAACTCTCAAATTTCTAAAGCCTCTGTGGGATTCCAACCGGGCCTCCTCTGCGCAAAGAGCGGACCATCGGAGCTCTTCCTTTTCCTTTCGGGCCCAGACTTCCCCACAACTCTCAGAGGGTGCCATGGAAAGAACGCATGTAACCGCGCCGGTGCGTGGCAACAATATACCCCTGACCGCTGAGTTAAGTGATCTCTGACACCCAAAATCAACTCCGGCACCTCGCGCTGCACAGGCGTTGGCTCGCTGGGTGCAGCTGCGTCGCATGGGCCTCTTAGCTAGGTCGGTTGCCGTCAGACGTGTACTATCAAAGATCACCACATCTCAGTGCCTTTCGTCATAAGTAATAAGCCCATTCCGAGCTATCTCCACCAGCCCAAGCTGTTCCGTCGCCACGAACGATCGAGAACCGGGACGTTGCCACCGAGCAGCTTTGCTCCAAGCCCTGGGAGGCATTCTCGGGAGCCTCTCATGGTACGGTGCGGAAAGGACTGATGTAATCGGGTCTGTGCCGCATTTCAACATCTTCTGCATGATCGCAAACACCAATCAAGTTTTGCTCCTTCGCACGCCTGCGATGCTGTTGTCTGCATACAAACGGGCTGGACCTGCCTCGTGCTGCACAGGCGTTGGCTCGCTGGGTGCAGCTGCATCGCGTGGGCCTTTGAACCAGGTCGACTGCTGTAAGACATCTGCATCCGATCAAAAATTTCTACAGCTCATGTCCTTCCACATAAGACCCTTCCGAGTTATCACCACCAACCCAGGCTGTTCCGTCACCACGAACGATCGAAAAGCCGGACTTTGCCACCAAGCAACTTTGCTCCAAGCCCTGGGAGGCATTCTCGGGAGCCTCTCATGGTACGGGTGTGGAAAGGACTGATGGCATTGCAACATCTTCTGCGTGATGGCAAACACCAATCAATTTTGCCCCTTCGCACACCTGCAATGCTGTTGTCTGCATACAAACGGGCTGGACCTGCCTCGTGCTGCACAGGCGTTGGCTCGCTGGGTGCAGCTGCATCGCATGGGCCTGAACCAGGTCGATTGCTGTCAGACATATAATGTCAACCTCATATTCAGAATGCCCCGCGTAATTGCCAAATCCAATTCCCAGGAACGTCCACCGTATGTGCAGAGTCCAAGCGGCCGGAGCGGAAAAAACGTAACCAGAGTCTTGCTTATGTAGATGAAAGCTCAAAGGAACTGAAACGGATTTAAGGCTCCTGGAGTTCACTGGCCCTGATGCTGGATCCGGACTCTTATTATGGAGGCTGGGGCTCACATCCTTAGGGGGTGTGGGGTGGGGGCCTTTCTTACTATGAAGTGAGCATTACATCGGATCAAAAATCTCTACAGCTCATGTCGTGCAAAATAAGCCCATTCCGAGCTATCTCCACCAGCCCAAGCTGTTCCGTCGCCACGAACGATCGAGAACCGGGACGTTGCCACCGAGCAGCTTTGCTCCAAGCCCTGGGAGGCATTCTCGGGAGCCTCTCATGGTACGGTGCGGAAAGGACTGATGTAATCGGGTCTGTGCCGCATTTCAACATCTTCTGCATGATCGCAAACACCAATCAATTTTTGCTCCTTCGCACGCCTGCGATGCTGTTGTCTGCATACAAACGGGCTGGACCTGCCTCGTGCTGCACAGGCGTTGGCTCGCTGGGTGCAGCTGCATCGCGTGGGCCTTTGAACCAGGTCGATTGCTGTAAGACATCTGCATCCGATCAACAATTTCTACAGCTCATGTCCTTCCACATAAGACCCTTCCGAGTTATCACCACCAACCCAGGCTGTTCCGTCACCACGAACGATCGAAAACCGGGACGTTGCCACCGAGCAGCTTTGCTCCAAGCCCTGGGAGGCAGTCTCGGGGGCACTAGAATCCTCGAGGTTTACCATGGATCTGCGTTTGCCTTGGGAAGCTTTGGTCGCACGTGCGATAGCGTTACAAGTCCCCTCCGAGGGCCTGCTTGCGAGCTTGAGGATTCTTGCACAGAGGGCTTTGACGGCCTAGCGTTGGAAGCGTTGGACGTTCAAGGGCAAAGGCATCGATTCGTGATCGCCGACATCCGTCCACAAGGATCTGTACGTCACTAGCGACTGTGGCAAACTGCCGCGCATGACAGAAAAGAGTTAAGTCAAGGCAGCTCTGACAGAGGAAGCTCACATTGCACAGTCCATCCTGCATAAGCTGTTGTCCGTGTATCTGTTTGATATGTTCGCCCAAGCTGGGCGACCTCAGAGGAAGAGCTCCCGTAAATGAAACGGAATTATGCTACAACTTGAGAATCCGCAAAAGCATGCAGCATACCCAAGGGCACATCAGGACCTTTCCAGCATGCACCGGGCTGGGACGGCCTCGTGCTGCACAGCTGGAGGCTCGCTCGCAGACGCAGCACGCGCACCTAGGCACAGCCGTCTTAACCTGTCATCTGACTCCACGGTGTCACGCTCAAGACATCAACTCGAAGCTAAACTGCCAAACATATCGACGTAGAGCGAGACGCTCAGAGTCAGTGCCAGCACCAAGGCACTCAGCTGCTGCGGGTCGGAGGCGTCCGAGGGAGCCTGTCACAGGGCAAGGGCTATCATCAAAGGAAGCCGAGCAACAGGGTACCATCTTTTGCACAAATCTCATACACTGATAACGTGATTCGCTGTCCCATCGATCCGCACCTCGACCTTGTCACAGTCTTCATCGCAGCTTCGTACTCTCACATCATTCCACGACTTGCACAACGCTTCTGCCCACCTCGTGCTTTGCATCTGGCTGGTCTCTCGCAGCATCGGGGGCGCCTTTGCAAGTTTTGCTGCTGCTTTGTACCGCTTCTTATGCTGCTTTCTTGAAAGCTGGCGTGCCTGATTTAGGGATCTGCTTTTTCAGGATCCCTATGTCAGGGGGACACTTTCGTATTAATGTCAGACGGAGCTTGGAGGAGCTGGGCCACGTCTCTGCCTGTTGTCAGGGTGGACAACGGTGGATACTGATGAATACTCACCCCATCATCTTCTCTGCTGATTATGCAGCCTCTGAGTCTCGGATGTCGGATGTCGGAAGAATTCAGAACAGCTCAGCCACACGACGTGGATCCGACCCTTTGCAGGTCGTCGGCAGTTCTCTGGTGAGCTCAGAAGACACTGGCAACCAAGACACTTCGCTCCGGAGCATCGAAGACGTCCGGGGGCCCCTGACAGCGAACGCAGGATCCGAAGACTAATGCTTTCAGCATCCTCGTCGTCAACTGATTCGGGAGTTGCAAGTAGACGTCGAGTCTCCAGCTGCTGGTGCATCCACATACAAGGGGATGTGTGCAGTTGCTGCAGGAACGACTTCGTTGGTCTGCATTTTTTGTAGGACGTATCAGCACCGACAGATGCAGCCAACAGTACGACAAGTACAGGAACCAGCCACTTTTCTGCTGGCCAACAGCTGCAGTCTTCTGCATTCGAGACCAGTCGAACTCGTACAGTCGCGCGATGACAAACATCAAGATCTGAACGTACCGCACATCCGAATGACAATGAATAAGGCTTTTGCCCCTGCCCTTCTGCCAGGCCCAGACGATGCACGACCCCGCATACGGTCCGCCTCCCGCTTGTCTGCTGAGGATGTGCTGGGCTTTGCCGCATTCCGCGGGCCTTCAGAAGTGTCGAGCCAGCATGGGTGTTTGGAATGGAAAAGCTTGAAGGGTTACTCCCTCAGCATGCCGCGGAATCGACAGGTGTTACGCTCTCGATCGCAATTCTGACAGCATGTCAGTTCTTGTCTGGACGATATCCACCCCGATGAAAGGAATAAATGAAATCTGTACTTCTGCGAATGTCGACTTACCTCGGACTCGAGTTTAAGTTGCCAGAACCAAGATGCTGGGCTCCATGAAGTCCGAGACGTCCATGGGGTCCTGCTTCAAGCTGACGCCAGCATGCACGAAACAGGGAAGCCATCCTAAAGGCCCTTCGGTCTTCACAACTACGATAACCGATTAACATGCACATGCACAACCCAACCCTACCGACACACCTTCATGAAGGCCAGCATTCCCTTCGCCGTTAAGGTGCTCACTGCTACCTGCTACCTGCGACCACGACGACAGCTAGTGCCACTGTTGCTGAGGCCATACCCGCCACTCTGCCTTCCCGTACAAGACTACCGTCAAACCATAGGTGAAGGGTTCGACTTCTCATCTCTCAACCAAAGGCCGTGCTTGCAGTGCCACGGATCTTGAGATTTCCACACACACACACACCCCTCCATCCCAGAATTCTCAATTCCCAACCTCGGACCCTGCCTGATCGCCCGGGACCGATGCCAGGGCGGCCTTGGTTGGCGACTCTTGCCAAGCCTGGGGTCGTGCCCGGGCCTGGGATGTTTGCAACATGGTGCGCTCGTGTGCGGCGGACGCGGCGGAGGACTTGGTGCTGTGGGGCTTGAACTCGACTGTCCCCTAAAGCAGGCAGCACAGATTTAAGTCAGTGAAGCATTGCAGCATTGGTGTATCCGCGATCCTACGCTATGCAGCACACAGAAACAGCACAAAACCGAAGAAAAACGTCGGCGCAATCAAAAGCGCCACCAACCCCCGTCTTTGGACGAGGGTGACTCGTCAAGCGAAGACTTGCAACCCGGCTTGGAGCGCGTCTTTGCAGGGCATGGGGCCGAGGCCGACGGGGAGTCCTTGGCGTTCTCATGCAGGAATGGCGTAGGATCGGCCTGCGAGCTCGCAAAGAATTCCTGCGAAACCTTTCGAAGAGGCAACCTCGAAAGGAATCTCTCTTGACTTGAGTCCAATGAGCATAACTACATCAAGGATCCCCGTCCCACACGGACGCGCAGGCCTTCAGGGATGCAGCTGCAACTTGAAGTGAACAGAATCTGGTGTTGTGAAGCCCTACCCGAACAAAGGTCACAACCACGACGACCACCACCCCGCCCCCAACAAACACAAGCTGCTGCACTGATTCAACCGAACCCAATCCCAAAGCTTCAATTTTGCAGGGTGTCCTATCTCCAGGCCTCGCCAAAAGACAAGTCGTGGTCACTAGTGCGCAGAAGTCGATTTCTTGAGTCCGACCTGGTTGGACCTCGCTGAAACCATTCATGCTTTGGGCACGGTCGGGGAGCAGGTGTGTCGATAAGTGGAAGCACCGGTGGCATGGTCGCGTTCCGGAACCCTGACCCTGAAACTTAAGTACAATCAAGTCCTGACCCTCCCGAAAAGTCAACACATCCAAATCCGTAGTGTCTAAAGGATCCAAAGGCTCAAGTTTCGCCAAGGAGCTGGCCACGTCTGTGCACACCTGGCATCGCCGTGTCTAGCCGCAAAATCGGAATGCCCACTGGAAGTTTAAGGCCAGTTGCTGTGTGGCAGTGTCCTAGACCAGTCAAGTGATGACCCGCTAAAAGCCAAAAGTCCTTGCTGCAGCTCTGCCCGGCATGATACAAGCCCTGTAGCTCAAAGAGCTCAGGAGGTAGCCATGAGGTTTAGTCTAGATTCTGTGGGTCGGCCCCTCTTCTGCGGTCCACCGCGCAACGTATTTTCGGTTGAAGGTTGAGACTCCGGACTTCCCAAAGACTCCAACCCTACACCGAAACCTCAACAGGGCCTCGTCGAAGCAGATAGGCGCAATGCAGCCCAGCCCTTCAAACTCCAGCCATAGGCCTGTCAAGGAGGCAACAGCTTCCCATCTCCGGGCATTGCATTTCAAAAGTTGGACCGCGACCTCAGGACTTGGGCATCAGTAAGGCAAGACATCTAGACCACTCGCGGAAGGCTCATCCGTGTACTGTTTCTTTGTTGGGCAAAAGTGTTCGGACCAAGTTGTGCATCGCACCGTGTCCCAATGCCGGGGCCACGGATGCCGTGAACGACTTGTGGATGATTAGAATGAAGACGACAACCAGAAGACAGGACATGCAAGACGCCATGTTCGAAATGTAGCGATATGAAAGCATAGACACGAGGCAAGACAGGCGCACATACCGGTAAATAAAGCAGCACAGCAACGAACTCACGGCTTCTCATGCAGCCCGATAGTCCCAAAATCAGGCCTGCACTGGCTTTCTTCCATCGCTGGCTCTGCGCCGCGTGCAGGTCTCCCTTAGGGATCAAATTCTGTTTAGGCTTAAAGAACTTCTGGGCTCTTCTGGGTGCGGTGGTCTGAAAGCTATAGTACCGCCACTCAAAACTCGGCCTACTTCAGGAGGCCGGCGCTTTGCCTCCCAAACTCCTGACTGGAAAAGCCAAGCTTCGTCCCCGGGAGCCAGCTGGAGATACCTCCAACTAGAGAGAAATTGGGCAGAAGAGAGAAATGGGGCGGACAGATCTTCAAACTGCGTGAAGATCGCTGCTCGATCTTGGCGGACTCACCACTTTACTCCGAAGTGTGCATCGATCTGCATCTTCCTTCGAGTCTGGTGCTGCGAGCGACCTCCAAACACTGCCTGCCCTAAGGGCTTTTTGTCTAGCCGCCTAGCCTCCCGAATCCTGTTCCCATGTAGTCTTGGCGCTTGCAATGGACGCCCTGAAACCCAACCCTCGCTTTCAAGACCCAACTTGCGCTGGCATCGAATAGCCAAGGATGCCCACAGCTGTTGCCGAGCGGCTCCTTTCCTTGGTCGCCGAGGACTTGCGGAGGTCGAGTCTTTTTTGGGGCTCTAGAAGAACTCACTCCGAAACCGCCGAAGTCTCTCCGAAGCTTCGGCTTCAAGTTCGCGGACTCATCAACTCCCCTAACCTCCTCCGGTCAGAAACTGTCGCTCCGAAGGGCCGGGCTCGTAGAAGACACAGGGATCCAGGCCGAACTCGTCAGCGCAGTACTGGCTCTTCAGGACCTCTTCGGAGGCTCTCTGCTGGGCAAGCCGAGAAGCCAGGAAGGCCTGGAAAAGGCCCTTAGCAAAAAAAACAAACCTCCGTCTGGAAGTCCAAACTAGGGACATAAACTGGATTCACGTTGAGCCAGTTGTAGCAGAAGTCCTCGCAGCTTTGGCATCGGTCCTTGGAAAGGCTTTGACCTACAGCAACGCGTAACAGAATGCGTTCAGAATGCTGATTTAATGACGGCTTATGTTCGGATTCGGACTCTGGAAGTCGGGCCATCAGAGGCTTGGGAACAGAAGTCGCAGGTGCCTGAAGTTTCGGCAGTTTCGCCGGGTTTGTGAGCATCCGTACCTACAAACGGAACCCTATAACAACCGATAGAAACCCAAGAAGCCAAATGACTTGTCCTGACCCTAAAGCCGGAAGGTAAGCCGCCCACGTCGGATCTTTCTCGGGTCCGCTCCAACCTGTCCTGGGCAAAATGACAAGCGACATCTGTGCGAAATTCGGGTTGCGAGGTTTGGCTCTTGCGGTTGTAAACAGGGTTGTTAACACAGCGCTTTCAAAGGGATTTACCGTGCTTTTACAAGGCTGTATAGCGTTTTCATAAAGCACTGTTGTGCTCTATGGCTTGTTGCAAGGCCTTGGTAGGGCCGCTTCGCATCATGCACATCCGTCCAACAAGGATCCTGCTGCTTCTACTATTTGAGCTCCTTGCTCATATTTCTCAGTAAGCGAACAATCTGCGCCTATAAGGCTTAGGATACATACACGAATACACTACACACACTACAGTACATACTTTTCATGCTGATGTACATACCATGCCGTTCGCGCTGCACCGAGCCGCACTATGATGCCGTACCGTACCGCACTGTTTCATATGGTACCACACATCACGATTTGGGAGTACACGGTACCATGGCGCACCATACCGCACCATACCGTATGTACCCTACCACACTCCACTGCACCGCCTCGTACCGTACCAACCAATACCTCACCATGACGAATCCTACCGGTCCTACCGTACCGCACCGTACCAGACCATGCCAGACCGTACTGGACCGTACCAGACCAGACCATACCATCCCATCCCATACCATGCCATTGCATGCATCATGCATTCATGTGTATATACATTTGTATGCAGTCATGCATACCTACACAGGTACATGCATAAGTTTGCATGCAGGAATGCATGTGCACAGCAACGTACAAAGTTACAACTACAGACATATACAGACATGCTTCATAGCTCTTTTCCATCTATGTTAGCAGTGTACAAGAGAACACACCTAGTTGTTGTTTGAACAAATGTGTGTACCAGATTAAAACACTCTATGTATATCAATACATATCTTATATATGTATACAAACACCTTTTCTTTGGTTAAGTAATTAAGTAAAACAATTGATTAATTACTTAATTAACTAATTAACTAATTAACTAATTAATCAATTAATCAATTAATCAATTAATTAATTACTTGATTGATTTAATGAATAATTAGTTATATATATATATATACAGATTATATATCTATATACACATGTATGTATATACACATATATATACATACGAACACATATCTAGACTCTAGACTCTGTAGACAAATATATAGATAGAGAGGAACATAAAGCACCATGTACTTCTCCGAAGCAGTATCTTCTAGAACTGACAGTCAAACTCAAGAGTTCTAGTGGCACATGGCAATTAGTAGAACAAGGACATGGCTGTGTCGTGCCTAACGAAGAAGCGGACGACAGGGTCCAGGACAGACCTGTTTAGCTGCGTGTCGAGCTCGCCCCGGAAGCGAAGCGGCCAGGGAACACCCAGGGCCCAGAGTAGCGACCAGTAGACGGCCTAGAGCTTTGAGTTTTGGAATGGCTTGCTGCAGGATCTAGCTTCACAGTGATCGCCATGTTTGCCAAGGCGATCACATCAACAGATGTGTGTTGCTTCCTAGTTTCGGAGATTGACTTGGGATAGAAGAGTTCAGCACTCCGAAACGACACTGTTTGGGACCTTGCGGGAGCTTCCATGCAGAGGCTGTTGGTTCACACATCGGGTTCCTGAAGCAGTCCATGGTCCTCAGGGTCTTGACGACCAAACCCTCGGAAGTAGCATGCAAGATGCACGGGGAAAGGCTGAGCTTCATGTCTCAAAGTATGCAAAAACTGCGCCCACCAAACCCGAACTCCCACCACACAGACTTCAGTGTTAAGGCTGGAGATGGCTGGAGCGGACACTGCTTCTTCGCCGAGACAACATCCCGCACCCTCGGATCCCGAGCCCTGTGCCCACTGAGGCAGCCACGTAAGAAAGTGCCACTGCCTTCAGGATCGATATCCACTGCCTCGGTCGAGAAGACTCTGCGACTTTAGACCCAGGCACAGGGGCAAGAACCTGCTGCGCCAGCTGTCACCAGCCACTCAAAGCAACGCGACGGATGGCTTGGGTATAGTCGGTATACGTGATCATGTACAGCTTTCAACGAAGGGCAGCCTGCAAACCGTGCTTGCAGCCAAAAGACCACTCCTGAAGCCTAACTCTCCAGTACGCGTGGCAAGCCGCCTTGGAATTCAGTCTTCAACACGCGGTCGCAATGGAAGTCTTTGCAACTTGTTGAAGCTGCTATCCCTGTGGAGGCGAAGCTTTAAGTGTTGGCCTCCAGCATGCTGTCGTGCACACTTGGCACGGAGAGGGCGATGCCAATGAAAACCGCAGAGAGAAGAAAGCTGGCAGCAACATCCCCGAAATGCGAAGCCTTGAGTGGTGATGCGAGATGCCAGTTCCGCAAGGAGCAATCCCCAGCCGAAGTAGAGGACCATGCTGTCCTGTCCAGGCCAGGCTTCCTAGAGCCACTGGGCGGCTCTGGGCTCTCAGCGCTGCTTTCACCCTTCCGAGCAGTGCTGTCGCCGAAACCCTTGAACCCACGCAGCTCCAGCTTGTTCGATGTGCAGTACCTGAGCGCAGCTGAACCCATACTGCAACTCGCACTGGGTCTTGTGGCCGTGAATGGCGCGGTCAACACTAGCAAGCGGTCCAGCGATATTGCAGCAGGAGTATATCACCATGCTACCATCAAACTACGGCTACTCTGATGACATTTCCACCACCTGTGCCGCATTCACTATGTCACTATGTTTTGCATCTACTACTTGCTCCATTGTGTGAGATTTAGTTGCGACGGTCATTGACACTAACAAAAACATGCGTGCATCAACAACTTAGGGTCAATCAGCAACAACCACTGATCCGACAGATGCTCTTCTACTGCTCGTGCTTCCACTCTCGACACCCTCCAATGCTATTCAGTTCTCTGTACTTCAGTTCTACTCTCCTTTGCAGTGCTAACCGCTCTGGCTCTCTTTTCGGTGAAGTTTCGAGGGAGGATGTGGTCCTTGAGAGGGAGATTGACGCATTCAGGCTCCAGCGGAGGGGTGCCAGGTTTTTGGTTTGCTGGGCCAGATTTACATCTGCACTTTCCGGGATGTACGCGGGTAACTGTTGTCATCCTGATCAGATTCGTGCTCTGTTGTCAGTACCACCACCACCACCACCACCACCTTCTTAGTCTTTCCCTTACGTCTCGTCCTTCCATCGCATACGAGCCCAGCGGCATCTTCTTGCAGACGCGGAGGTGCATGAAGCGTTGGAAGAAGTAGAAGAAGAAGGCCCAGACGCCTCGGCGCGCGTTTCCGGCGGAAAGCGCTAAGGCCGTGCCCCGGCCCCGAAGACCCTAAAAAAACCTCTCGTCTTTCGTCTTCCCAACCCAAAAAACCAAACCTCTCGGCCAAGGCAGGCTGCAAAGGTAAGCCTGCGTCCACCACATGGAAGGGGACATGATGAAGAGCGTGAGACAGCAGCCTCTCGGAATGGGCTTTAATGCTTCGGGCTGGCGAGTCGCTTCTGACTGCGAATGCCACAAGTCATATTTCGCCAGATTGGGATGTACAGGGCGTGGTTTTTCGGGTAAGCCAGGAGAATAAAATGTAGATGAACCTTTCTCCGCTCACGGCCCTGCCTCTCCCAGCAACCCCAAACAGCCCTCAATGCCCCATGGCCGGCATAGTGCGAGCTCGCAGCAACAAGGCAGCGTCACGTGGCCCTGGTAGTCCCAGGCAAGGCCTCACAGAGAAGCAAGCTTTGTCCCACTTCGTCACTGTCGAAACCAATTCTTCATTCATACTCCACTCCAGCAAAGAGAAGAGAACATGACTCTGTGAGTCTTAGCGTGTGGCCACGCAACTTTGCAAGGATTCATCGAGAACTCCGTAAATCCGGCGTCGTCTTTAGATCTCGGAAGGTTCACTGCGGACCCATGCCCGTGCCGCACCTATGGGCAGTGGCTCCAGGAACCTCTCCGCTTCCCTGCCACTCTTTCCTGCGGCAGACACTCTGTAGATATGATCCCGAGAGAGAGAGAGAGAGAGAGAGAGAGAGAGAGAGAGAGAGTGAGAGAGAGAGAGTGAGAGAGAGAGAGAGAGAGAGAGAGAGAGAGAGAGAGCGC